ATGTGGAGGTGGGGCATGAGAAGGCAGGAGAGAGCAATCCTGAGGTTTAATTTCTAACCAAAGCTTATATGTCTTTGGGGGCATGCAAGCACTCTGATTACAGATAACAATGTACGTCATGAGAAGGAGTTGGAACATAGGCAATACAAGCAATAGGAGGAGGATGACCTAGGGGTGTATACGCAATAGTACAGGGAGGGAATAGGGGTACATATGTGGCAAGATGGGTGGACCCTGGACTCAATATAGTAACCCAAACTTAGTCATCTTTGAGTGGTCCCGGGCTTGCCTTTGGGCACTCCTCCAAGGGAACAATATCAGAAAGGAGTAGGCCCTACTTAGGGTGAGTCAGACTATACAGTTGGGTTGCTCTAGATACCCTTAAAGAGAATAACCTCTGACCTACTTTCATTGACGGCCTAGTGTACAGTCATTTACCATGTGTAGCAAGCAGCGTCTTGGGTTTGGCATATATTTGGGGGAGACAACGGGAGAAATCTTTCTGTTTCCCACAATCTTCAATGATCATGAAGATGGCATGGAATTGGGCAACTTTCTGTGCTGTTACTATGAGTTCAAGCTGACTCAAAGGTAACAAAAGTTTGTAGTGATTGCCTTTTTATTTTATTTTTTTCAGTCTAGATTTAGTAATTTCTGTTTTCTCTCTGTTTTGTTCTTTTCCATTTCATCGATACTCGAACAAATCAATATTTGGCTTTGATTCTTTTCTTTATTATTGGCCTGTTTTTCTAAATCATTTTATTGGGGGCTCATACAACTCATCACAATCCATACGTACATCTATTGTGTCAAGCACATTTGTTGCTATCATCATTCTCAAAACTTTTCTTTCCACTTGAGCCCTTGGTATCAACTCCTCATCCCCTCCCCTCACGAACCCTTGATAATTTATAAATTTTTATTATTTTTCTGTGTCTTACACTGTCCGATGTCTCCCTTCACGTACTTTTCTGTTGTCTGTCCCCCAGGGAGGGGGTTATATGTAGATTATTGTGATTAGTTTCCCCCTTTCTGTTTTATTTGATTTCTACTCTTTCCCTATTCTGCTGTCTCCAGGTTTTATTCCCTCCCCCCGACCCCCAAGTTTCTTATGGAAGTTTGGGAGGAGCCCTGGTGGTGTAGTAGTTATGCTTTGGGCTGCAGTCCTCCAGGTCAGCTGTTTGAAACTACCAGCCCCTCTGCAGGAGAAAGACAGAGTTTTCTATTCATGTGCAGAATTTCAGTCTCAGAAACCTACAAGGGCACATAGGATCCTACCCTGTCCTATAGGGGCACTATGAGTTGGCATTAACTCAATGACGGTGAAAGTATAGAAGTTAAGGAATTTTAGACTTCCTCCATTGTTCACATAAACATTTAAGGCTATAAATTTCTTCTTTTTTTAATCGTTTAAATTTCTTCTTTTAAACACTGATTGAGCTTGATCACTCCACCTTTGTGTTGTATTTTTGTTTTCATTCAGTTAAAAATATTTTCGAATTACTGCTCCGATTTGTTTTTTTTCCACCAAATCAATTATTTAAAACTGCTGCTTAATTTTAAAATAATTAGACAAGTTCTATAAGCTTTAGTTTTGCCATTATAGTATTATTTTAATTTATAATAATTATAATACATATAATTTCAAGTTTCAAAATTTTATTAACACCTGTTTTTGGTTCAGATTATAGTCTACATTGTTGAATGTTCTCTATGCATAAGAAAAGACTACTTTCAAGAATTTTTAGATGTAATGATATAAAAATATCAATTAGGTAAAGATGATTGTTAATGTTCAAATCTTCTATAGTGTAACTCTTACTGAATACTTTTTCTCAATTAACAAGAAAAATTAGGTAAAGTTTCCAACTGTGATTACAGATATGTGTATTTTTACATATAACTCTTTTGGTTTTATTACATATTTTTAGAAATATTTATATTAGGTGAATTTATATTATTGCTTTATCTTCTTTTTAAAATCCTTTTATAAGGAGCTCTCACAGATATTCTAACAATCTATAATTCCATTAGAGCAAGCATAGTTGTACAATTGCTGCCATCATTATTTTCAAAACGTTTTCTTTCTTCTTGAATGCTTTGCTATCAGCTTCCCTTTGTTCCCTCCCTTCCCCACCTAAACCACCCCCAAGAACCCTTAGTACATTATTATTGCCATATCTTATACCATCCAATTGAATGTAGCATTTTTTCATTAAGAGATTTCCTGATCTCTGATAATGCTTCTTGTTTTGACATCTGTATCTGATGGTAGTATCTTGTGTTAGTCTGGGTACTTTAGAGAAACAAATCCACAGAAACTCATGTATAAGAGTTTTATATAAAGGTTAAGTGCACATCAAGAAAACATTCCAACCCAGTGCTGCCCAAGCCCACAAGTCCAACATTAATCCATTAACCCATATGTCCAACACCAATCCACAAAGTCTTCCTCCATCTCACAAAACAGAGGCAACAATGCCGACTGCAGGAGAAAACCCACGTCAGTGAATGTGTAAGCATCTCAGCGCTAGCAGGGGTCTCCACCGGCCGCTCCAGCACCCAGGGCTGCATCAGGGTAGGTCCATGTGGCTTCTCCTCAGGAATGTCTTTCAGGAAGTGAGCCTTGTCAGTTGAAGCAGGGAACTGGCTAAGGCAGCTGCACCCTGGTCTGACCATCAGAAAGCAAGAGATCCAAGAACTAGAAATGCGAGGCTCACCAAGCCATTTATCCTTCTGCCTTTCAATTAACCCCACATGTGTTTATTGGCCAGGTTGGCACAATAAACTAACTACCTCATGTCTATATGGTATAGTTTTTCCTTTTTCTTAATTTCAACAGGTTTATGCTTCTATAGTAAATACTCACTGCCATCAAGCTGATTCCAACTCATAGTGAGCCGATAGGAAAGAGTAGAACTGCCCCTGTGGGTTTCCAAGAATATAAATTTCTTATGGGAGGAGAAAACTTCATCTTTCTTCTGTGGAGTGGCTTGAGGTACTGACCTTGCAGTTTGCTGCCTAGCATGTAATCCACTATGCCGCTAAGGCTCCTCAACTGCAGTGAAAGCGTTATTAGCAGCATCTAATTGCGTCTTGGTTTTTAAATAAGTCTGACCAGTAGTTTTTAATTGGAGAATCTATCTGTTTACTTTTACAAGAGTAGAAAGCCTCAGCTTTCTCCCAGTGGTTTCAAACTGCTAACCTTGTTTAGCAACACAATGCCCAACCTACTACATCACCAGGGCTCCCTGATATGTTTGCTTTGAAATTATCCATCTTGGTGTTTGTTTACAATTCCCATTAACTCTTTTTTTTGTTTGTTCCACTATTACTTCCTCTTTTTGAAATTAATCTAGTGTTTAAAAAAATCCATTATTTCTCTCTTTTTTTTTTTTTGGTTAGTCCATGGATTACCATTGGCATTCTTAATTTATCACAGTCTTTCTTGAATTAATGTTATATTAATTGTTTAACATAAGAACTTTACAGAACTGTAGTTCCATATAACCCCTCCCATTTTTTTTCATATTGTCAGCATGTATTTTATTTCTAGGTAGTAGATGAAAGTGACTATAGGGAATATGAGAACGCTTTGTAAAAAATTCTATAAGTAGAAAATATTTGTTTAGACCTTTCTTATTTTTAAAAATCTGTGTTTTGGAGTTTTCTGCATACAGACCATATACATATTTCATTAGATTTACAATTATCTGTTCATTTTTTGGGGGTATATTTGTTAATGCAGTTTATTTCCTCTTCTTGCCTTATTTAAGGATCTAATAGTTCATATAATGTTGATGCATAGAAGAACACTGTTGCTTTATTAATAGGATTAGTGGGAAGATTTCCACTTTCTCACATAAAATATGATGTAAACTGAGGTATTTGGTATTAGGGGGAGAATTACCTTCTATTCCTAGATTAAGAGTTTTTGTTTGTTTTTTTAATCGTGATTGGGTACTGTAAGTTGTCAGATGCTCAATTTGCAATTATTGATAGGATCTTAAAAAAAATTATTGATCTGGTGGATTACATTTAGTGAGTTTGAATAGTGGTATAGCCTTGCATATCTAGGATAAATACATGTGGTCTCCGTGTCTAATTATTTTTATACACTGTTAGATTCATTCTGCAAATATTCTGTAGGACACTTCTATCATGTTCTTGAGAAATATTAGTCTGTAGATTTACTATCTCATAGTATCTTTAACTTTTGGTGTTGAAATGATGCTAGCTGAGAAGAATAAGTTAGGATATGTTCACCCTAATTTTATTATTTGGATGGGATTGTGGAGAATAGCTTAACATTTATTCCTTAAATATTTGAGAAAATTCACGTTTGAAACTTTTTGGCTTGGTGATTTTTTTTTAAAGATTGTTAATTTAAATCTATTTGAAAATTTAAACAAATATAGGACTATGTATGTTATTTGTTTCTCTGTGTGTGAATTTTGGCACTTATGTTATTTAAACAGTTCCTTAATTCTATCTAACAAATTTGTAGGCAGCAAGTCTTTTTTTGTATGATGATTTTTATTATCCTTTTAATATCCATGTGGTCAGGGTTGTCCCTGGTCTTGTTTTTGATGTTCACACTTGTGCTATTTCTTTTTTTTTTTTAGTTAACTTGAATGAAATTTTGTCATTTTTATCAATCTTTTCATTCAAAGAACCATTTTTTTCATTTGTTTTCTACATTGATTTGTTGTTTTCAGTTTTATTGATTTCTGGTCAATATAAAAAACCATTCCCTTTCTTCACCTTATTAATTGAGAAGAGTAAAGATTGAGAAGCCAATGGGACCATGGAAGATTTGCACTTATTAAGTGAGGGCAAAGTACATATTTTGAGCCTTTTAATTAATATTTTATGAAATAATTAGTATATATTTAATTAGGAAAGTCACTGAGTAGAGAGTAACGTTCTTTATCAAACTCAAAGATATTTTAAAGCTTTTTTCCACAGATAGTAAATACCTTTTTTTTTTTTTTTTTTAGGGATCCTGAACTTACAGCTGTTTGCCAAAAATCTGGTACATTAATACTCTATCCAGGGGCGGAAGCTACTAATTTGGAAGAATTTATAATAGATTCTCCTATTTACCCATCCACAATTATTATCATTGATGGTACATGGAGCCAGGCTAAGGATATTTTCTATAAGAATTCCTTATTCCGAGTTCCCAAACAGGTAAACAGTTCTTTTTTTTTCTACCAGAGTATAAATATAAATGTTTACTTATATCTTATATATGATTTTTCTGTGAGTGGATACACATGCAGTTTCACATATTAACGTGGTCCTCTTTCTGTGTTTTATGTATATATGTTGTTGTCATCAAGTGACCCTCTGGATAACAAAATGAAACACTGCCTGGTCCTGGGCCATCCTCACAGTCATTCTTATCTTAAGTGGAGAGCAAATGTTTTGAGAATGATGAGGGCAATGAATGTACAAATGTGCTTTACCCAATTGATGTATAGATGGATTGTGATAAGAGTTGTATGAGCCCCTAATAAATGAGTTAATGCTCTTAAGCCAGCTCCAAAGGATCTCGGCTCTGGCTGAGACAGTGGTGGGGCTAAGGTTAAACCCTAGTCGGCCTCTACTGTGGTAAGCCAAAATCCTCCAGCTCCTGAAAACCTAGTGGATCTGTACCTATCTGCCTTGTATGAGGCTCCTCCTGCGACCCAGCAGTGTGGAATTTCCCTCTCCTGCGCTGATTTCTGGGGAGTCCCTCCGGTATGTGCTACTCAGTCGCCATCTTGCTAGAAGTCAACTCGTCTACGTTTTAAAGACTATCTCAGACCAATAATTTTAAAAGGGATTCATCCAGCCTCTATCACTCCAGAAAGTCTGGTACCATACCAATTATAATTTGAAATTGTGTTCTACAACTTTCCTCTTTTGGTCTGGATATTCTTACAGGGCAACATTCACTTTTTAATTAGACACACATTCTGTTTTTTCCCCTCTTCCTCTTCTTATTTATGACTCTTGTGGGTGGCCTCTTGATTTCTGAAGAACTTCTCCTTTTTTTGGTTTTTAAATAGTCAACATTTTATTTTAGTTTGGGTAAAAGGCTAACAGAGCAAATTAATATCCCATTCAATAATTTGAATGTATTTTGTTTTATGACAAGTTGCATTCACCGCAATGTAATACATTCTTCCCAATGTTTCCCTGGGTTCGTCATTTCTGTTCATCTATGCTTCCTGCCTCCTTTCTGTCATCTGAATTTTGTTTTCAGGCAAATACTGCCCTTTTGGTTTTTCTATGATTAATTATTTTGAGAAGCATGTTCTTCCCGGTATTATAATTCACTTTATAGGTCTGCCTATTTTCTGGCTGAAAGATGATCTCTAGGGGTAGGCTTAGTTTCAGGTTTGCATATAATTGGGGACTTTATGATTCTCTATAAGACAAGTAACTGTAGCCTTTTTTAGGATTTTGAATCATATTCTACATCTTTCTCCCATTTTTAAAAAGACTTTCTATTGTCATTCCTGTTAGATTCCTATTAGGAATCTAATTTGCCACCATATTGGTTTATTTCCCTCCTTAGTCAAAAGGAGACTATTATTTGTTTGATTTATTAGTTAGTATAATTTTTTTCTTGAACATTTTTTACTCTTTGCTCTGGACAGGAAGTTGAATCTTAGATGGCAAATTGTAAGTTTTTTTTTTTTATTCTCTAGACTTCAATGATTTTTAGTTTGTATTTATTTTTTATAAAGTGATACAGTTTTTATTTGGATAATTTGACTTACATCTAGTTGTTAGTAAGTTGTAAGTTTTTAAGACACCACTAACTAATCTCTAATGTAGGATATAGATCACGGTCATGGACTCTGGCATGCCACTGAGGCCGGTTCTAATACCTCCAGCCTGTGGACTCATTCCCACAAAGTGCTTAGAAGCTTGCAACGCTTTGCCTTCTGTGTTCAACGATATATACTTGTAATAAAAATAGATAAGTATGTAGAAATATCCTCTTCTAAACATATTTGTAGCTGTACTCCCATATAGCCTTGCACATCTGTTCAGCTTACCTATTGTGTTAGACTGCGTTTTTTAGAGAAACAAATCTAGTGACACTCATCTATGTTATAGAGTTTTCTATCAAGAAGTAATTATATATGAAGAAGACATCCCTTCTAGTTCAACTCAAGTCCATAAGTAATACTAGTTGATAAGTCTCTCTTTAGACTCACATAATCACATGAAATAATGCAGAAAGCAGGAATATCACAAGCCGGTGGGTGCAGAGTTACATGGATTCAAGATTTGTGGACACATGGCAGGAGGTCCGCAGCAGCTCTTAGGGTCAGTGGTAGAGCAGAAAGGCAAAGGGGGAGAGAGAGCGAAGGATGTTCCCAGTTCCCTGTGGTATAAGGAGGCCACACCTCCAGGAGACATTGTCAGGCTGTGACCTGATTTAGATACTGGATTCCACTCCCATTCTTTCATACATCTAGTTGACATAAAATCATCTACCATACCTAGTTACCTATGTACCTGTGTATCCACTCATAAATTATTATTTGTTATTACTGTTATTTCACCGTGGTGTTGCCTTTTACTCTTGAATACCTCCTAATATCTTCTTTTCTCTTAGTCATGTTGCACTGATCTCCTTAATGGTATTGCCTTTCCCTTTACCCATATTGACTGTCAATCTATATTCAGTGATTTGTCCTCCTTTCCCTCTCATCCCCAATAACCACCAAAGAATGTTTCCTTTGATGCATAAACTTTTCTTGAATTTTAAAAATAGTGCTTTATACAATATTTGTTCTTTTGTAATAGACCTATTTCACTGAGCATAATGTTCTCCAGATTCATCCATGTTATGAAAATTTTGTGAATTAATAGTTATTCGTAAAGTTGCATAGTATGTATGATAGTTTATTTATCCCTGCATCTGTTGATGGTCAATTAAGTTGTTTCCTTCTTTTTTGCTATTGTGAGTAATTCTATATTGAACATGTTTGTATATATATATTTGTGTTATAGATCTTAGATCTCTAGAATATATATGACTGGTCCTGGGATTACTTTACTGTATCATACAATATTTCTGTTTTTAATTTTTTAAGGAAATGCCATACTGTTTTCCACAGTTTGTCTTTTTACAGTTTCATCAACAATGTATGAGTTCCTTTACACTGTATGTGTATCTCGCAGTACTTGCAGAAGCATTTGTTTTCTCTCTCCGTGTGTATGCTTTAACATTGGTATTGTTGTGGGGATGAGGTAATATGTCACTGTTCTTTTGCTTTGCATCTCTCAAATAGCTAATTACTATATGCATCTATTCATATATTAGTTGGCCATTTGAAGATCTATTTTGGTGAAGTGTCCTTTTTTTGCCTTAACTCATTTTAACGTTGGATTGTTTGTGCCTTTTGCGGTTGAAGAATTAAAGTGTTTTATTAATTTTAGAGTGTAATCCTTTGTCTGGTATGCCATTGTCAAAAATTTCCTCTGTGTGTATGCTTTCTTTTTGTTCTTTTGGAAAAGTCTTATGATATACATAAATGTTTATTTTTTAGGAGCAATTAGTTATCTAGCTCATATTTTGCCACTTGTGAAAGAATATTTATGCTACAAATTAGAGCCCCAAGTTTGCTCCTATTTTTTAAAAAGAATTTTATCTTTTAATTGTATGTGTTACATAAAATTTAAGTCTTTGATCCATCATGCGTTATTTTTTGTATAGGGTAAGATATGGGTTCTGTTTCATATTTCTGCAATTGAAGATCCAATTTTGCCAACATTATTTATTCAAGAGATTATCTCTTCCCCATTTAATGAATTGTTGCCCTTTATTAAAGATCACCTGTGCATGGTAGATGGATTTACTTATGGATATTCTGATTTCTGTCCTTTGTTCTTTTTGTCTGTTTCACTGGTGCCATGTTGTTTTGGTTGCCTTGGTGGTATAAAAGGTTTGAGTTTGGGGAATGTATTAGTCTGGGTAGACTAGAGAAACTCATATGTGTATAAGAGAGTTTTATAAAAAGGTAAGTGTGCATTAAGAAAGCATCCCAACCCCTTCCAGTCCAAGCCCATAAATCTGACATTAGCCCATCAGTCTGACACCAATCACAAAGACCTCCTCAAACTTGCAAAACACACACAATAATGCTGAATGCAGGAGGAAAGCCGAATTAGTGAGCATGTAAGCATCTCACGTGGCTTCTCCAACACTCAGTGCTGCATCAGGGTAGGTCTGTGTGGGTTCTCCTCAGGGATGTCTCTCAGGAAGTGAACCTTGTCAGCTGAGGCAAAGAACTACTGTATATATTCGAGTCTAAGCCAACCCAAATATCAGCCAAGGCTGACCACAACAACTGCATAAAAATGCTGAAAAACTTAGCGTATACGCGAGTACATACGGTAGCTAAGGCAGCTGCATACTGGTCTGACCATCAGAGAACAAAAGACCAGAGAAAAAGGCAAGGCTCACCGAGCCATTTATCTCTCCGGCTTTCAATTAATCCCACATGTGTTTATTGGCCTGGTTGACACAATAAACCTTAATTATCACAGGGAGCTAGAGCTAGAAGCCCCCTATTTTGTTCTTTTTTTCCCCCAATACTGCTTCGCTTATCTGGGATCTCTTTCCATATAAAATTAGTCATTAAGTTTTCTATCCATGTGTATGGTATGTTCTTTCATTTATGTAAGTTTCTTTTGGTTTTATGCAGTAGCATTTTGTAGTTTATTTGTATAGGTCTTTTTTTTCCAACCCTGGTTAAGTTTATTCTTAAATATTTCATCTTTTTGTTGGCTATTATAAATCATATTGTTTACCATTTCAGAGTTCTCTGTTGCTGTACAAAATTTGACTGATTTTTGTATAATGATCTTATACCCTGAAACATTGTATTAGTTCCAGTAGGTTTCTTGTAGAATCTCTTGGATCTTTTTGTTCATAGGATTGTATCATTTTCAGAAAGGGATAGTCATATATATATATAGGATTGTATCATTTTCAAAAAGGGATATATAGATGTACACTAATATACATATTAGTATATATATACTAATTTGGGTACATTTCTGCCGTATATCTATGTGTAGAACTTCCAGTAAAGTATTTAATAAGATTAGTGATGAAGGGCATCCTTGTCTGTTTCCCATTCTCAAGGGGAATGTATTCATTTAGTCTCCTTTGAGAGTAA